TTGGGAAGGGCTCCACTTTTGGAGGTGAACTGTTCATTGTCGGGCACGGGCCTTGGTGATATGAAAAACAGTACCAGCTCCACTAGCACAGCAGAAGTTCAGCGCGGCCCAGCGATATTTTATTCCCTGACATTGCTGAGCGAAAAAATTGACTGCAATGTTTTGACAATTCTTCGAAACACTACGAACACCGGCTCAAATGATTGTCCAGCAAGGCTTCTTGCTACACATCCCCTGTTCCGCCTGCCGCGCCGTGGCGGTGGCTGAATGGCCTCGCCCTGTGCTAGCTGCTAGCAATTCTAGCTACATATTCTTTAACATCAATAACCGGCTCTCTCATACATATACTCACCTGAAGATCAATAGTTCTGTGTATATATAAATTTCAGGATCAGCAATTGGCTCCAATCGCTTTTTCTCATACGAGGAATTGTTCATGGCACCCGGCCCATGCAAGTACAAAGCCCTCCACACTCCTGTTGCTGGTTTCTGGCAATAATGGTCCCACATGTACTCATTCGCTGAGTATGCATGAAAAAGACCCTCACGCGATTCCTGTAGCTTCCAAGCTAGATCCCCAGATCCCCAACAATAAATAGAAGGTGCTATCAGTGCTCAGTGCTAAGTCATGGTAAGCGTGACATGCGCAACCATACTGGCAAGGAAGATCCACAAGAGGGCAGCCTTGCGTGGCGTATCTCCAGGTAGTTTGGCATTTCCGCAAGGCGCCTGATGAATTTGTGCTTGGGGCTCTAGGATTTGGGAGTCTCAGGGTTGAGGTTGAGGGCAGTGCACGGAAGGTGATTCAGCAAGCTTCAAGTCCAGGCCCCCTGATACTGAACCTCCTTTCTACCACCCAAAAACAGCGAGACCTCAGCGTGGGCCTTACGCTCAACTACAAATCTGTGCATCTTGTTGCTCGATTGCTCATGCAGCCTCTGGCAATGGGATTAAGCACCGGGGTCTGGGGGCTAGCTTTTCGGTCACAAGTCTGGCACGGATGCTCATGATAGAGGCCAATCAACTGCAGATAGTCCTTCTTGGCGTTCCGAAAAACCCGGAGGCGTGCAACCCTGAGATCTCAAGCCACACCCTGAATCCTCACGCCTCAACCCAAACTCTGAACAATAAAGCCCAAATTGTGAACCCTAAAACCTAACTTACTGGTGGCTAGTAGGGAACAAAGGAATATGATCCCCACAGAATCCATACATAACATTGCCCTAAACCCAAAACCCCTTCGCCCCAAACCGCAAAACCCCAGACCCTAAACCCTAAACCCCTAAACCCTGCATATTCGCTTATTGCCTACTGACCCTAGCACCTGGCCGGCCCTTGCAGAGCCGCCCAGATCCTCCACAAGTGCGACTGCCCTTTTACAAGGGCTGCAGGGATTTTGCTTTCTGAGGGTTAGTAGGGAATGTACGGGAATAGATTATATAGGGGATTTTATAGGGATTATATTCCTTTATTACTTACTGGCTCTTAAGTTTGATTAGAAGACAAGGAGTGTTTGTAGGGTTTGAGGTTCATGTCTGATGGTTTTGGGGTTCTCAAACTGGGGGAGGTCCCTACGGGACCCTAAGGATAGTGGAGGGATGCTGAGAAGAAGACTACCAAATCCCGCTGAAGGGATTATAGGAAGACAACCCTAGACCCTGGGAAGGCAATTGTAAGAAACTGTCATGTCTCAACGTGGTGGAAGGGCGTCTGGAGCAAGTCAGGACTGCTACTCCCACCAGGGGATCACGTCGGGACATGTCGAGACACATGACGTATGGAATTACTTACAGTATTTGCTATTATTCAGGGATCTGCTTCTTCTGGAGGTCTCTGCAAACCAGCAGACAGTTCTCAAATTCCACTGCTGCCTCTGTAACTGGGCGTGTTGCTCAAAAGAAGCTGGTGCATCTTACATACCCGTGCAGCCTTGTGCGATTGTGCTCTGATGAGAGCCATCGCAGTTGAAAATTGCACCAATGCTTGTTGAACAGTAGGCTTACGATCAATGCATGCCTGTATATGCTGTTGTTCCTTGTGGGATAACTGTAAGAGCCGGTTTTACTTTTCCTCTTGCTTCTCCTGACTACTATGAAGGCTGCCTATTGCCGCTGCACGACTTGGTAGCAACACTAGTCTCTCTACTTTCCGCGCCTCCACCAACGCGCGCTGGACCTCCTCAGTCAGCGGGCTCGCTGTCGTGGGAATTGCAGGCTTTTAGGGGTGGATGGCGTACGGGCCTTGGCCTTGACAAAGCGTTGACAAATTTTAAGGTTGGGTCGCCAGCCCTTGCACACTAATGATGAAGCCGTGATCCTCATGGCGAAATCTTGACGGAGCCGTCTCTAATACAAAGAAGCGAACTGATCAGGTACTTGCAAATAGCTTCTGCGAGGAATTGGGCTTCATCTTCATCGTCTTAGCACTGCACCCTTCAGTGTCTCCCGCTTGCGCTCCCGAGCAAACAATGGCTTGCAAGACAAGGATGATAAGGCCATTCCTCCAAAAGGTACCGCCCCTGGGTTTAAGGAGCCAATAAAGACTATACAGGACATATATGGGGGTTTCCCAAAATTAGGGGTACCTTTTTAGGGGTCCCAATATTAAGGATTATAGTATTTTGGGGTCTATATTGGGATCCCCTTATTTGGGGAAACCACCATATCAAGGTATTCCTAGGGTTCTAATGTAACCCCTGAACAAGCGGAACACCGTGCCAGTGTTCAACGTTCACATGCCACGAAGGTCACATTGCCCTGTCAGCTCACAGAGCTGCTTCATGCAAAACAGCCGGAATAAAAGTTCACAAGGGTGCTCCCCTTAGATCCCAGATAATACTATGCTATCAAACCCGAAAACACACATGGAATCATCATTTCTTATCCTTGTAGAAGTATAATGTATCATACTACGCTCCAGAAAATCTATTTACGCCTTTCCGCAACAACCTGCAATAATACGTTGCACACCTTGTTGCAGTAACCATGCGCACTGAGCACCACGCTTTCCCATACGCATCCTTCTCGGTCACAGATGACAATGCCTGCCACGAACAGGCAGGGACAAACTTCAAGCGACTCAGCAGCGGCGAAACCATGTTACTCTGAGCAAGCGCAAACCTTCGAACCTTACCGTTAAAGCTAAAAAATCATGCATGACCCTAATTTTTCTTGCAGTACCCCATGATTCCCAAGGTTTGAAGCACTTACGATCATGCAGGATGCTTAACATCCATCGTATCTCTGAACCATTGGAAGTCAGCCCAGAGCCCAACTACCTAATACCAACCCTAAACCCTAAACCCTAAACCCTGAACTCTGGAAACTGGTTGGGCTAGGAATGGCTATGTGAGCTACTGTCGAAACTCCTAGTATCCCCCTTAATAATGGAGAATCAAATGGAAAAGAAATGGAAAATGAAATGGAAACTACCATTTAGGGTTTAGCGTTTGGGGCCCTGTAATGGAGAATCAAATGGAAAAGAAAATGGAAAATGAAATGGAAACTGGGATTATATAGGGGATTATAGGGGTTATTGTCTAAACTCCTAGTATCCCCCTTAATAACCCCTATAGTAGTCCCCTATATAACCTCCCTTTAAGGAATTTAGACTATAGTTCATGTGACAGTGGCTTCTTTTTAAGGGTCCTGGAGTTGTTGTAGTTGGTCCGGGCTCCTTGTACTGGTTAAAAACATGCTTTTTGATGAGACCCTCCAACTACCCTCTACTTACGACTAAGTACCCCCTATTAAGGGCCCTGTAACCCCAATTAGGGGCCCCCACCCTTTTCCGCCTTGACCCCTGAAATCAGGGGTCCATTACCTCTCGGTTCACATAAGCTACAATCTAAACTCCTAGCGTTTCCCTGAATGACACCTGTAAACCCTTATATAACCCCTTTACACTATAAATCACGTGCATGCGGTGCCCTAACTTGGCAGATTCAGAGCCATGATAGATGGCCTTCAAGGAGGGCACAAGTTCATCAGTCCATAAATGGCTGCTTTTGAGCACACGTCAGAACGATTGCACGAACTAGTGGCGAAATCCCAGCTTCTGCTGGACCACGCCTTGTTACCTTGTCTGTCTTTGTAACCCTATAAGCTCTGAACCCTATAAACCCTAAAATCTGTGCCTTCAGGATGTCACGCCTGTTGATCTCTAGCTCGGCTAGGGTTCGGAGAGCTCCATCAGCAACATGGCGACCCACTCTTGCCCTGCAAGATGCAGTATACTTGAAATCCTAAAGACTAAATGGGTATAGTTTGTTTTACAGCTCCTTTTTCCAACAAGGGCTTGGGGTAAGTATACTATAGGCCTATAGGGTTCAGGGAATATTAACCCAATCAAGGGGAATCAAATGCAAAAGAATATCGATAATAACAAAGGTTTAAAGAGCTGATGCTAAACAATCCTGCACGACCCTAAGGCCCTAAGTACTTCACACCCAGAGAACCATGGTACTGGAGCGTACCACTAATGTCATGCACAAATTTTTCGTATGAACAGTATTCCCATAAGAGCGAGTATACAATGACGCACACACATTGAATGGGTATGGAGTCAGTGTGGAGGGTGTTGATTGTTCGTAGGTAGTCATGAGTTGAAGCATAGCCAATAATTGCAACAGTGCTTGCCACCACCTACTTGAACTCAGGGACTCCTACCATGCCCTGCTTGTTGCTGCCCATGAACCTTCAAGTACCCCCCTCCCCCCCCCACCCAAGATTTCGTCAGGCATCTATGTGCTGTGAATTGTGAAAGTGCGCCATGTGGCATGTCCAAAATGCACGTGCTAAAGCTGAGGAATGTGCCTGTACACCCCGAAACGGAAGTCTCAACGCAAGGCCAATGTCTTTGAACAACAAGCTTGGCACAGTGCCACGTCACGCTTTATGTGACACTCGCACTATGACTAAGAAGAACAAGAATAGCCGCGACGACAACAAGGACCGTCGCAGTTGAACATACACAAATGTGAATAAATGGCGCCCGGCAACCCTTCCATCAAGAGATTCACCAACGGCAGGATCGCGCCAGCTTTTGCGACGTCCTCCTCTGCAATGTGCCGCTCAAGATAGGATAAGCAATCAAAACAATGCGTTGGCCAAGCCCATATATGAACCCTCCTAGATTCCCATGATCCCAATTTGTATTTAATGTTCTGTTCCCTTTTCACTTTGATTCTCCATTCCCGGTGTACCATGTGTATTCCCTAATCCACACAAATCACCAGATCATGCCTGCTTCATGTCATGTTCCAATCTATTTTCCATTTGATTCTCCATGTTGGGGGGCAATATTGCCCCCTACATAACTCATGCATAGTGGGTTCCACTTCATGTTCCATTCGATCTTCCACTTGATTCTTCCTTTTTTGGGGTAGTGCTACCATGTGCATTCCACTTTGATGCTTGGTGCAGTCCTTGCCGTTGTCATCGAGCATAGACAAGGCCTGCAGAACCCCCGCTGCACGCTCCTTCCCAGTCTCGTCACCCTCACAGAGAAGACGAACTAGGGGCTGGATAGCCTTGGCGTTGAGGATGGCAACCTTGCAGGGTAGTTCTGTGCGGCCGACCCACTTGTATACCTGGCCCATTCAGCTTTAGGGGTCTTTCAAAGCGTGAACTGCAGCTCAAGGCTAATTCAGGAATCCATTTTGGACTCTGCCTGCCTTGCTCTGGCAGTCTGTTGCCAAAATTCTCAAAGCTCCTGCAGCAGCGTTCTTGTGGTCCCCTGCCAGCTCTTGTGTCAACTCTGGGATTATGGCCTTTCTGCAGTCATTGCTCCCACGTGCCAGGTTGTGCAGAATCTCGACGCTGAAGTCGCGCGTGGAAGTCTTGACTTTGCTGCTGAGCACCGCCTCCATCAACGCCGCAATGCAATCACCTGAGCTGCCCAGCCTAATTCATCAGAATCGTCCTTCGGACTTTGGGTTTTTTCAGCGGAGATACTCCAAAACAGGCTAGAGCGGCTGTCTGGTCCTACTTGGCGGGTTTTGCAAAAGCAAGACAAAGGATGTCATAACCTCAGCAGCATTCCGCAACGACAGAAATCCCTGACAGGAGGAAGGACAAACACGATCACCCCTTGTCGGAATAGTAACTATAGTCTTAATAGCACCAAAAATCGTAATAATCGTGCCAATAATCCTCATAGAAATTATTGTCAAAGTGACGATAGGAATAATAATGCCCTCCGAGTCACCCTGGACAAAAGCAGCCTGGCATTCCTTGTGGTCTGACAGCTTGACAAGTAAGGTCACAGCTTCTGGTGGAATTTCGCGCTTCCTAAGTTGAGACTTAGAAATGAACCCCCCCCCCCCCAAATGTACCCGCCAAAATTGGAAACCTATTAGGCCTTATTAAGCTCAATATAGCCCTTATTAGCTCCTTAGATCCGTGGGGTACATTTGGGGGGGCTTGTATTGTAAGTCCTAAACTAAGCTCGCTCGATGAGGGTAATTGGTTTCCAAGCATGTGTGACATCCGTTGGGCCCAAATGGTGTACCTCCACACAGGGATTCCAGTCTACAGGGGCGTGGAATTGCGAAACTGGCTTTGATGTTTGACACATTCCTCTAAACTCTGATTACCCGGTACATGCTGAACCCCTTTCTGAATTGCTTGCTGCAGAAGCAGAATATGTGGAGAAGTTGCGGCATCCCGGCTAAGTACATACTCACAAATGATGGAACCCTGCGTGATACTTACACCAGAAAGACCAACTGGTAGTTTCACAAAATAAGGGGACCAATATAGACCCCAATATACTATAATCCTTATTATCGGGACCCCCAAAAGGTACCCCTAAGTTAGGGAACCCCTAACTGGTTTCAGGACAGATTTGCGCTCTAGCTTCATCAGCTCCAACAAGGGTGGAATGCCCGACTTGCTTGCAATGGCGGCTGCGATGGCAGGTTTGTCAGCATCCCGTTTGTAGTACAAATGGTGGAGTAGCACAGCAGCCAGCTCCATTGCTAGCTCCTTCGGCTTTTTGTTCCTGGTCCTCAGGAATTTCAGAAGATCGTCCACGTCACAATAGTTCGCAATCTCCTTCCTGCCATCGCTGTTGTCAGCCAATTTGCAAAAAACTTCCAACACCAGGTCCCTAGTTCTGGATGTGCTGCTCTCGGAGATGCGCTCCTTCAACATAGTAGTTTAGGGTTTAGGGTTTAGGGTGGAGAATCAAATGGAAAAGAACATGGAAAATGAAATGGAAACTGGGGGAATATAGGGATTTAAGGAACTTAAGGGTCCTTCAACATAGCAGTTTCCATTTCATTTTCCATAATCCAAGTTATACACATATATATATATATAATCCGTATATAACCCCAGTGTAGTAGTTTCCATTTTCTTTTCCATCATGCCAAAAGAACCCCAATACTATACCCCTATATAATCCCTATGATCCCTGTAGTTTCCATTTTCTTTTCCATTATCCTAATATAACCCAAAAATCCTAAACCCTAAACCCTAAACCCTTACTATAGCTCCTTCAAGATCTCCATCAGCCCCTGGATGGCATCCTCTTCGTCAGCAAGGTTACAGTCGGCATTGCTCTTAGCCAAAATACAAAGTAGCTGCGCTGCCTTATCCTGGGTTGCTGTTAAGGA